AGGAAGAAAAAGAAAGAAAGATAAAGGATCCAAAATGACAATAGCACTCCTGCATTGTGATTCTGCCATAAAAAACTGTCCTAACAACTAGATAAATACATGATGTGAGGCTTGAAATGTGGCCCTTGAAGTCATTAGTGCAATGGTTTCTCTTTGCCTCCGTCCCATCCTTGGTTTTTGTGGTTACTATCAACATTCAGCTGGATCGATTGATGAGTGTGTACCTGTCCTTCACCAGGGCCTGAGTGGCCTTGATCAGTGAGGGAAGCATGCCAATGACCTAAGCCTCGTCACCCAGCAGAACCTAGAAGTCGTTTCTCCCGTCAATCAGATCAGGAATAGGAGAAGCTAGGAGGGACGTCACTCTAGCTCTGTGGTCCCCTTTCCTGGATCACACTCCCGCTCTAGGCTCGCCTCTCTCTCCCCAGTCTCTCCTAGCCCCAGGCCACTGTCTTTAGCTTTGGTCCTAGGCAATTGTGTTTCCCAGAATGTATTTCACTCATGTCAAATGTGAAATTGAGTTTCTTGGATATGTGTGGGCCCGGAGATTACGCCTTAGTTCTCCTTTTCAACACCAACATGAAAGACGTCGTAAAGGAGGAAAAATAGCCATGAGGGCATTTGACTCTAGACTAAATGCATTTTTCCAAGTAGTCGAAGTTAGACTATAACGTGGTGGTGATGGTGAACAGGAGTTAGCAGTCAACTGAATTGACTTTATAGCCTAATGATTAAATCCCTATAGTAAAGAGAAGAAAAGAAAACCTGCTTTCAAGTTTCCTTCTTCCTCAGGCTTGCCTTTCTCTCCTTGTCCTTATCACACCTCTGCTCCATCCTCACGCAGCTCCTCTGAGAGTGGTCCACATCCCCAGCTTTCCTTCCTGGCCAGCCTTCCATTCCTGGGAAAGTGATCTCTCCTGTTCCCCATGAATGCTGCTCTCTCAGAGACCATTCATGACTTTCCGACAGTCAAGTCCAGGAAACTTGTAAGTCTTCTTATGTGACCACTTCAAAACTTTCTTCTCCTTTCCATTTGGTGACATTATAATATTCCGTTTCTCTATCTCTCTGACCGTGTTTTCACTATTTCTTTGGCAGTTCCTTCTGCCCACAGTTTAAATATTGATGGACTCTGGGCTCCTCTCCATCTGACTGTCCATCTTCTGCACATCTCCACTTGGATGTACCTCAAATATCTCAGAATGCTCATGTCCAGAGCTGACACCAATGCTCCTTGGCTTATTACCTTGTCCAAGTCTGCCCTCCTCTTCCACTCCCAGTCAATGTCACCAGCAGCTACTCAATTGCTCACACTGGAAGCTTTGGCATCATTGCTTTCTCGAGGTCTTTGCCAGATATCCCTGAGTTAGAGATATCTTCTTCAGCTCCCCTATGTGTGTTCAGTTGCTCAGTTGTGTCTGAGTCTTTGCGACCCCATGGATGGCAGCCCACCAGGCTCCTCTGTCCACGAGATTTTCCTGGCAAGAAAACTGGAGTGGGTTGACACGCCCTACTCCAGGGGATCATCTAGACCCAGCGGTGGAACCCGTAACTCCTGCATCTCCTATATTGCAGGCAGATTCTTTACCGCTGAACCACAGGGAAAGCCCTCGGCTCCCCTGTACAAAATGCTAATCCTCCCCCAACTCCCTATCCTCGTACCCCTCTTCATCGCCTCTTGTTTGCTCATATCACCATCTGCATGCTATTTGTCAATTAATTTCTATCTTCCCCATAAGAACAGAAGTCTATGAGGCAAAGATTCTCTATTGTCCACTGCTATGTCCTGAGTGTCTAGAACAGTGCTGGGTACCTAGTTGGTACTGAATAAGTATTTGTTGAGTGAATGAATGAATATGTATTTATTGCATGAAAGCAACTCTGATTTCTTCCCCTGCCTTCGACTCCAATCTTCAGAAAGTTCCAAAGTCTCACTGTTTGTGTCTTGGAAATAGTTCTCAAATCTGTACCCTGTAGACTCCTCCTCCAGGGTCACTGCCTTGGATCAGGACCCACCCCTTCCAGGGCACTACTGTGGCCTCCTGGCTGTTCTGCTTGCTATGGCTGCTTTTATAGTCCATTCTCCGTTTTACTAGGGAAGCTCCATCTCTGAGACAGTCCTGAGTGTCTCCTTCCTCTGCTTCAAGCCCTGGATATTCACTCGATAGATACTCACTACGGTGGACCTGACCACCTGGGACCCCCCCCTGGGGAAAGAGGTCTGAGTAGGGACACAGTTCTGTCTCATTTCAAAGTGAGGTTCAGGAAAGAACCGTCACCCAGAACTCAGAGATGTGGGCACTGACAAGTGGAGAGCTGACGAATTGGACACAAGTGACGGATCCTGTTAAAAGAACACAGGAGAGACACATGGAGTGTGGCCTGGAATGACTGTGGGCCAGAATTCTAGAATGAGTCATCACAACAGAGAGCACCAGCCATACAGGGCAGGGAGGGGCTGGAGAGAGATGGAGAGAGGAAAAAAAAAGAGATTCAGTCATGCTGAAGTGAGATAGGATTTCCACACCTGCCTTTGTTGAAAAGCTAAAAATAGGCACATTTGGGGGAAAATCGTGAGGAATCTTTTAATTCCACAGATAGGGGCTATAGGGAAGGAGGTTTGCAGAGAATGGCGTGTCTCTCACTCTTGGTAAAATTAGAAACAGAAAAATTATATTTTAGGTATCCCAACCTTCACTGTTTTCCTTGCCCCCTCAGACCTGTTCTCCCCTTCTTTCCCTGCTATCAAAGTCTCTTCCTTAGGAAAAAGTCTAATATATTTATGCACTTAAGTTTACAAGGTTTAATGTGACAATTTTACATGTTAGCTGGACCTCATGTCTGAAGCAAAAGATGCTTGGCTTCAATACAACCACCATTAAAACAACAACAGTAACTATATAATTCATTGTACCCAGCACAGGGCTAAGCACAGTGGTTGCTCAATAAATATTTAGCAAAAAACTTCCAAAAGCATTATTTATATTATCAAACTCTATACATAAGCTAAATATCCAACAATGCTAAAACCATTGAAGAACTTTGGAGATGAAGAAATATTATATTGCTATAAAAGATTTCAAAAGACTTTTTAGCTACTTGGGGAAATGCTTATCATGAGATGTTAGGGAAAATGAACAGCATTCAAAGTTCTACTAGACTATGTCAATGGTAAAAATCATATGCATTTACAGAAGACTTAGAAAAGCTGTGGGTATCTCTGGAATCTGTGGGATTTGGGGGATATTTTTAGTTCTTTTCACTTCTGTGTATTTTAAAATTATTTACAGTTGGTATGAGGGAATTATTACAAAGCAAATGTTGTGAAAGATAGATTTGGGGGAGGAAGCCCTTTTTAGGGGCCCATGTATTTCAGTCTGTTGGTGTGGCAGGCCTGATCAAATACATGGGGGTGGGGGGATGGGGGGAGGAGCGGTGGGGGGTTGGGGGAGTGGGGAGTGCAAGCCTCTCCAGTAATGGAGGCTGGCTGGTTAACCAGCAGAGAACAGGTTTTAAAAGAGTGATACAGCAGTGGAGAGTCTGACCTTTGAAGAAAAATGGAGTGCATGGTGATGTTGGTACACTGGTGCTTTGAGCACAGGCATGCAGCCTTCCTCTGGGAGGGTTTCTCTGTGCTGGGCTAATAGGCTAGTCCAGCCGCCAGAACACTGCCAGCTCCTGATTCTACCTCACCTTTTGTTCCTTAGACACTCAAGCCTTGCTCCGGTGCTGAAACATACCTATTTTAACCCTGCTCCTCCACCCTCTTCTATTAAAAATACAGCTGGAAGATTCACTGAAACTCTTAGTGTTGCTACCTCAGTGATGATCTGTATTAAAGTCTTTAAGAACTGAGGTTGTATGCCCTTGTAAGAAAATACTATTTAATACAGTGCCTATACCATAAAACCTACATTTAAAAAATCTTGGGGTTTATAACAGATTTCAGCATTTGTAAACAAGAAAACATTTTCCTTCAGTTATTTCTGAAAAGCCCTTCTAAACATCTGCGTTTTTCTCCTAACTTCAGTTGCTTCCCATCTCCTTCCCTTGGGATTTGTTGCCTCTCTGAGGGAGAGCAAACTTCACAGCCAGTATCAAACAAACCAATAAACAAAACCCAAACCAAACCCCACAACAGCAATCCCCATCCCTCTCCAAATTTCTAATTTCCTGCACTTAAAAAAATGAAGTCCTAGGCTATTCTTATAATTCAAGGATCTTCAGATCTAAATGGAGGATTTGACAACTTTGAAATCCTACGCACACCTAAAATTTCCTTTTTATTATTTACTACTTATTAAAGTACCCAAGCTTCCTGATGAAGGAAGGCTGGACGGCATTAAGGACCGCGGAGGCTTGGGAGAATTGTGAAAAGCAGAAATCCCAGCTCTGCCTGGAAGACTGCGTGTGAAAGAGCCCGACTCCTCCGGAGGCTCCAGGCCACGTTTTGCAGGCGGCCGCATCTGCCTCCCCTGTCTCTCTTACCTCCTTGATGTGAGGCACTATTTGTGGCCGGCGTGGTGGAAGGACACAGTGAGGTTCTCACCCCCGCCCCCCGCCCCCAGCTCCCATCCCCAGTTCCATCAAAGCGAACCCGGGCCAGCGCAAGGATCTCCGAGTTGCGAGTGTGCTGAGGCTGGGACTGTCACTCATTCTCCGATCAGCGCGTGAACGCATCTCGGCAGCGGCTGGCAGGAAACAATTCTGCAAAAATAATCGTACTCAGCCTGGCAATTGTCTGCCCCTAGGTCTGTTGCTCTGCCGCCGTCCACACTCGCTGCAAGGGGGGGGCAGAGAATTTACCGCGGCAAGAACATCCCTCCCGGCCAGCAGATTACAATGCTGCAAACTAAGAATCTCATCTGGACTTTGTTTTTCCTGGGAACTGCAGGTACATTTTCAAAATTATTATTCTCAATTTGATTTGCTCATTGCCCCCTGCCCCCTCCTCGTCCCCCGAGGAACGCTGTTATTTGGGGGTGGTTTTACGTGGAATGCTAAGGGTGTTCATTTTCCTTGAGCTGAAGAAGGAGCGCGTCGTCCTTGCAGCCCAGCCGAACCCCGCGCCCTCCTGGGCTGCCTGGACCGGGACAGCCTCCCCGCGCAGCGAGCGCCGGGCGCCCCTCCAGCGCGCCCGCCCTTCCCATTTTGTGTGCCCGCGGCGCTGGGAGCCGAACCGTCCGCTCCCGGGGACGCTGCGGCCGCGCCGGCGATGGGCAGCGCTCCATCCCCGAAAGCGGGCGGCGGAGCGGGGGATGCCGTAGCTCGGTGGTGCAGCCGCACAGGCTCGTCTTCCTTGGGGAAGGGGTTTTCAGCCTGGGCTCCGCCAACAGTGAACAATAAGGCCGGGGCAGCCGCCCGCGATCGTTATTTCCCCGGGTCTAATAAAGTGGGACTCGCCGCCTTTGCGCCTACCCCCTTGCCTCCCCGCCCCGGAGAAATAACGGTTTGCAAAAATGGGGCGAAATGGGCAGAATCTCAGGGCTCTGTGGCCGTTATTGCACCTCCCTGTCGATATGACGTTAGTTTTTCATTTGCCAAATTGCTGGTTAGTTGCAAAGCCTGCTCTCGGCCCGGAGCAAGGAGGGATGGGAGGGTCGAGCGCTGCGTTTTGACAGGAGGAAGTGCGGAGGGGCGGAGGGCGAGGAGGGCGTGATCGGGGCTGCCTGGTGTGTGTGTGCGCGCGTGTGTGCGCGCGTGTGCCTTCACACGCACCGCGAACCCCGTGTTGCACGGTGCAAGAGAAGAATGGCAGGTAGCCTCTCGAAACACCTCGCCCCAGTCTCCTTTCTTTGGGCGAGGTTCCGGATCCTGACAAAGTGCGAACAATAGGGAGCTGGGAGGAAGACAGTAGTGATGCTCCCGCGGGTGGCCGGGGCCGCGCCGCCGCCCAAAACACCTTGGCGGCCGGGAGGGAGGTGATTTTTTAATTTTTTCCCATTTGGGGTATTTCCACCCTAGCCTCCCTGGAAGATTCTTCTGTGCGTGCCCACCCTCCCCTCCAGCTGCTCACTCCACCCCACCCCGCCCCACTCCACCCCACCCCAGGATTTGCGTTTTGGAGCTGACGGACGGGAATAAAGGAGACCGGGCTGCAGAGAGCTGGGTGGGGTGGGCGGACATTCTGGGCTGGGGGGTGGAGGGGGCGTGTGCGGGGAGAAGCACCCGAGGAGAGCCCGGCGAAGGGGTCTGTGTGTTGCGACCGCCGCTGCCAGGCGCCGCTGGAGCGGCCCTAGACCGCCGGGCCCGAGTGCGGGCCGGGGAGCACCCAACGCGCCCCCTCCCCGGGCGGCACGAGAGCCGCGCGCGGCCGCCGCCTCCAGCCAACACGGGTCCCTTCTCCGGCGACCAATCAGAGAGAGGCTGGCTGGGCGGGAAGCTGCGAGAGGCATTTTATTTCGGCGCGGGTGGCGGCCCGGGGCTGCCAGCACCGTCTCCCGGTGCTCCAGCCTAACGGTCTCGCTCACCGCCCCCACCCCAGGCCGGGAGGAACCCCGCCCTGTGGCCGGACCCCCGCCCGGGCCGCAGTTTCCGAGGAGATAACATAGAGTCGAGGTGGTCACCGGGAGGTCTCCCGGCCCGACCCGCCCGTGCTCGCCCACTCGCGCCTCCTGCACGCTGGCCTGGACCATCCCTCCCGCCCCTCCGGCACACACACACACACACACGCGCGCGCGCGCGCGCGAACACACACACACACACACACACAGGCTCGCGCGCGCACGCCGAGCCGTCTGGGCCGGAGCGTGTGGTCCGGGAGGGCGCAGAGGCTGGGCACACCGACGCGCGTGCGCTGACCCTCGCGCCTCGGGCCAGGGGGGCGCCGCCGGGGGCGGGGCTTTGGCCCAGGGTAGTGGGGGCGAGCCTCCCGACAGGGGGCCAACCCGGGCTGACCCCTGGTTCTGTGCCCACTGCCGGCTGGCCAGGGGCGCCCTGTCAGGCCTTCTCACGTCGTGTCGGTAGGTCTCCGGCGCGCGATTGATTTCCCTGCACCGCGCGAGTGTGTGTGTGTGAGATTCTGGGGCCTTCTGTCCTCTAGGTGGGGGCATGACCGTACAGACCTGATCTTTGAGGGGCTCTGGGGGATCGCTCAGCTGTCCTTTCCAAGCCCGTGATGGGTGTAGCTCTTGGTGTTGGGATTCCCCAGGGAGTTACAGCAGGTACACGCCCAGGGAATCCCCGACTGGATGTTCTTGGCTGCCAAGGCATGGGTGGCTTTCTGACCAGTGTGCTTTGAAAGGAAAGCATCCTCTTTCCAGGGCCCTAGTAACCTGAGGACGGGGAGAAGGCAGAATGAAGGAGAAACACATGCGAGGTTGCTTAACAAAAGAAAGAAGTTGAGCGGTTTTCCAAAGAGAAATAATTTTCCATTAAAGCATTGTTTTCACAATTAAAAAAAAATGTAGAGTTCAAGTCAGAGGGTCAGGACAGAAACAAAAATGACAGAGCAGACTTTTCTCTCCCTCCCTCTCTCTCTCCCCCACCCACACACACATACACACACGTTTTGCTGTTGTTTTCTTTTGCCTCCAGTATTCTAGCATCTCCAGGGACAATGGTGGTTAAGTCAGTGCACGACTGGGAACACGTGAAGATTTAAATGTAAGGTGTGTTCATCTTAATATACCAAAGGAATCGGGTCTGCTGCCGCTCTGTCATTTTGGTGTCTTCTGCGCCTTAGTAATAAAGTTAAAGATTGTGGAATTACAAATTTGAGTTTATCATGATGCCAGTTTTAGATGTTTTGTGGAAAAATTGATTGAATGATGTGGAATGGCTATTAAGTCATACGTTTATTTGATAATTTTTGCAATTCTCTGCCAACTTGGAAGAGTCAGGGAGTGATCAGGACTGGTTTTCTATGAAGTTGCACCAGATTAAGAACAAAGAGCACCTTTGCCACCCAAAAGCTAGCTTGCATGTATATATATATAGTACATATTGATATCATTTTCTAAATGAATTAAGATATGTTTCAGCAGAGTTTGCTGTCAATACAGTTATGGTGAGCTATATTTTTTTTTATCGGTTTTCATTTTACGATCAGTAATGTATGTTTCTGAACAAAGTTTAATGGAATGTAATAGAGCTGTGCTGTGTCCCACTCTTTGTGACCCAAAGGACTGTAACTTGCCAGGCTCCTCTGTCCATGGCATTTCGCAGAGCATGGCATTTCACAAGCCCACTGGAGTGGGCTGCTATTTCTTTCTCCAGGGAATCTTCCAGACCCAGGAATTGAACCCTCTTCTCCTGAATTGGCAGGCGGATTCTTCACCCCTGAGCCACCAGGGAAGCCCATAGTCTTAACACTTAACTGTTTTTTAGAGTTAGTTTTTCAAGAAGCTTCCCCTCTCTTCCCCTGACAGATGAAACTTGATGACTTCTTTCCAGATACATTTACCCAGAATTGTTTTTTTTAAAAATAATATTAAAATAGCAGACAATAGCAGGACACATACTTTTTCCATAAGGTGGTTCATTGAAGTCTGTATGCTAATTGATTAAGCTATGGGTTTGTTGATTTAAATGGTGTTTCTTGAGTTTGATAGTTCAAGAATTAAAGTAGTAATTGTTTGCAAAAAAATTCATGGTGCGGATGTGCTGTTTTCAAGGACTGTAGGTGCTTAGTCAAAGCAGCAATAAGAGAGGAAAAACCCCCAAATTTTGAGAGTTTTGCATAGCACTTTTCTTTAGAATACATTTATCATTAATTAGCTTCCTCAGATAGGTAATATGTCATTTAATGTAAGTGATCTATATCTGTATTTTTTTTTTCTGTCACAGGGAACATCCTAATTGCCTTTCAAAATAAATAGCACCATTTTGTCATTCAAATACTAATCTTTTGACATGACAGATGTTTTTGTTTGCTGCAGAACCCAGTTTTGTAAATTACAGACAGTATCTTGTAAACTTCCCACTGCTCGAAATAGGGACTTCAGAATTTCTGATCCAAGCAGTGAATCTTTTAAGGTGACAAAGCCTCTATTTAATATTTGAATTCCCCACGTTTACGTCTTCACAGTCAAAGAACTGGAGCTGCTTCCCAGACTCAAAGGGACTTCAGTGCTGATGGCAGACCTCCAAAGATATTTTACAGACTGTCCTTCCTGTCTTGGTGAAAAATAAGAGATTGACTACCTGTTGCTCGTGAACGTTTTGAACTTCCGCTGCTGATCTTGGTTCTGCGGTGCTGGAGAGCAGAACCAGTCAGCAGGAGGAGGAGAGACGAGACTGGCAGCTGCCCTCGTCAGTCTTCTGGGAACAGTCACTCTGGCTGGAGACAAAGGCATCTTAAAGAGGCTCTCCTGTGCTATTTAAGTATTGAGCTTTTGAGCACACACATGTCTTATGCTGCCAATACAAATGTTTTAATGTAAATTCCATAACTGATAATTCTTCCGTTTAGGTATTATTAGATAATTCTTCAATTCCCCTAACCCTATATAGGCTAGGAAACTTCTGGAATGTTAAAGGGCAGGAAATTATACATAGCACTTTTTTCCCAGTCTTAAAAATGATTTACAAATTAAACCAAATTGAAAACATGACTCAACAGGCCATATAATGATAACGGCTGTTTGAGGTTTGAATCAAGAAGGCAAGGTTAAGATCCCTTTAGTTAAAAAGGAAGAAATAATATGATTCCAGAGGAGGATTTTATACATCTCTTAAAATACTCAATGAGGCTTTGAGCAGTATTGTCAGAGTTGGCCTCTTAGGAAGAGTGAATACCCAAGGACCTCTCCAAGTCTTGATGAATAGGTCTCTATGAGATCCAGAGTTTCTCATATGAGAAAACCATGTAGTGAACCTACTACCAACGATACAGGCAAATGTACTTAACTGCTGTACAGTGGTACAACGCAGAAGTCAATCTGAAGGTCAGAGGCATGTCAACTCTAGCCCTTTTTGTTATTGGATCGTGGTGCCACATTTAAAACCATTTGCTGGTATACAGGGATGTAAATTATTTGGCGCCATTATGCCTTTTTGTTTCCCGGTGTTGAAACGCCGTCTCTTGGCTGAAGATCCCCATTAGGAGCACTGCCTTTTGATGTTGGTGTGGGAGCCAATGGTGGCCTTCCAGGCACGTTCAGTACACTACACTTGAAATGCTGTTAGGCCGTGTCTATACGCAGCCACTAAGTTCTCTGTTTTCAGTTAGGTAGCCACACTTCTTCCTTCCTGCAGAATTAATTTAACTTCCAAGCAATCACTCAAAGAGGACTGTGCTCGAAGAACAAAACATTTGGTCTATCTTGTGTATTTGTGTGTGTGTGTGTTTTAAAGGTTTTAATAAACCTGTTAGGCATTCTTTTTCTCCAGATATATGTAGATATGATTGTAGATATGACTTCAGTTCCAAGATTGCCTCGCTGGTGGGACTTGAAAGGCTTTTGTCTAACCTGTGTTCCACTGGATATGCTCACTGAATACATTTTGATTTGTAGCTGCAAACCCTGGCAACATCTGGCCCTGTTTGCCATTCTGTACCATTCCTGAGAGATCAGATCACCTCACCATTTAGGATTATTCATAGTGGTGTCACACCAGTAGGGATTGGGTTACAATAGGTATTCTCTTAAATAGTTCATCAAATGTGTTTATTGAGTGCCAGCTTTTTTATCATCAGCTCTGTGGGGAATTACAAAGCACTGCGATGACCTAATTTCTGCTGTCAGGGAACCCTGTGAGTAGGAGAGCCTAGAGATTAAGAATGGCCGGTGGCCCTCGGGTAACACCCCAGGCACATGGACCCTTTATTAGTTGTCTGATCCCGGCTGAGTCAATTCAGTTCTCTAAGTTCATTTCCTTTTCTGTGAGGTAGGAAAATTAGCAATACCTCCTTGTTAGAAACCTTGTGAATATTTTAGAATGCACCTGAGCTGTGCTTATTAAAGAGAAAGAGGGGTGTATATGGATCTAGAAAAAAATATTCAGACATCATGCTCTTTTTAGATAGACTTTAAAAAAGGATGTTAAAGTACTGTATTTCAGTGATTAGAACTAGATTTTTAAAAATCTTGTTTTAAATATGCCTGCCATGTTGTTGGTTATGAATAATACTTCAGAGAGAAAAGGGTCTTAGGAGGTTGAAAATTGTTAGCAAAAGGATTCATCTGGGTTTCATGGGTCCAAAAGGTCTGTGATTTTGATGGCAACTCAGAACTCTCTTGCTTTTGACTGTGAGCACAGGTCACTAGACCTGCATCGCCCCCCGAGCCTTGGAAGGGACCCATGCAGCTAAAGAGTACATGCAAACATCTGACTTGCCGTGGCAACTGTTTTGGCCTGCCTGGGCCCACTCGCCTGAGAATACAAACTAATTATTCCAGTGTGTTAAATAAATACCTCATAAAGGTTGTTTGTATAGTGCTTTGAAGATGAGAACCATGTATCAAAATCAAAGGTATTTTTGAAAAGAAAAGGCTATTTGACCTATATTTTATAGACTGTCTTTAGTGAGAACTGAGGTGATTAAATGTGTCTCGCTGCCGATATTTTTATAAATTACAAACTGGAATAAAAATAAGATAATTGCTCTTATTACTCAGATGAGTCAAACATAAGTGCCCTATTGGTGAGGCTGGAAGAGGTTTGCCAACTAAAGGCATAGGATACTGGAGAA